AAAGTTACTCGATGATTTTTGTTGACAAAAGCTTTAACATTTGCTACCATCGTTTGGGTCACCGCCTCAGCTGGCCGCCCAGTCCTAGGCATGTCACAAACACTTTTTCTGCCTTCACGAAACTGAGAAGCCCAGTTGTAGATGGTTGAACGTGATACACATTTATCAGAAAATCTTTTTTTAAGCCTCTGAAAGATGTGGCAGGGCTTTTCACCTTCTGCAACCAGAAACTTTATTACAGAGCGTTGTTCCTCTATTACAGAGTCCCTATCATATATCAGAGGGCAAAATACACAATTATCATTGAAAATAGACTGACCACGTTATTGGGGAATGAATGTAGTTTTCACCAATATATAATGTGTGTATATAGCTGCACAATCATGCTGCATAAAGTTAACTTAACTTGCCTCATATAAATAAGAGACTAGATATTTAATTGAGGTAAAATATAAAATGTTTGACAGGAAATATTTGACAGTTAATCTTCAGATACTAACAAGTACGAGATAACATAATTTGATAAAATTTGATAACATTGATAATTTTAGTGGTTTCTATTCAATATGTATATAGCTGAATAGGAGGAAAGTACGGTGGCAAAAAGGTGACATGTGTGTGTTTTTATTTATCTCGTGGCAACGAGATATTATGTCGTGGCCATAAGTTACTAAGTCGTGGCCACGAGATAGCTATGTCGTGGCCACGAGATACTTTGTCGTGGCCACGAGTTACTAAGTCGTGGGAACGAGATAGATAAGTCGTGGCCACGAGGTACTATGTCGTGGCCACGAGTTTTGAAGTCATGGCCACGAGAAAGCTAAGTCGTGGCCACGAGATAGCTACATGTCACGAGATACTATGTCGTGGCCACGAGTTATTAATTCATGGCCACTAGATAGCTAAGTCGTGGCCACAAGATACCATGTCGTGGCCCCGAGTTATTAAGTCGTGGCCACGAAATATTAAGTCGTTGCCACAATAGCTAAGTCGTGGCCACGAGTTACTAAGTCGTGGCCACGAGATAGCTAAGTCGTGGTCACGAGATAGTTAACCAATCAGAATACACTATATATATTATGAATTTTTTTAACTTAACAACTTACTTTTACACGCAACATTAATCTTTGAAAATACTGAAGATATTCTCTTTGAATTTGTCTTTAGAATCGTATTAGAAAGTCACCTTTCAAGGACCATCAGACATAGCTATGGGAATGACGTCATCAAAACACGTGACTTGTTTTACATGGGGATGTAAGACAGGATTCAGACATGATTATCTACCGTTTACACTGTGACCAAAAATATTTTTGTCCCAGATCAGACCAATTTTAGAAGATATGAACCGAGGGAACCCGCCCATTGGGCACTAACGAGGCTTGCAACTTCATTCATAACGGCGAAATTACGTCATGACTCATGGGTAAAACCAACGGAAACAACAGTCTGATAAACAAGAAAAGTTATTCTTTATTTAAAGAGGGCATAACTTTTCAATATATAATTTGAGGATTATCTGCCTGTGATATGGCATCACATTTATCATTATAATGAATATGTATACCAAATCATAGTTTCGGAGAAAATGGAACTAAACTTATAATCTATTACAGATACAATTAAGTAATACATTGTATTACCATGAAAATGATCATGACGGGAAGAATCTACCAATGTGTATCAAACTACTAAGTTTCAATGTAAAAGTACTTTTATTATGAGTATGAAGCTAATGTCCATAAACAAAATTTTAACAACAATTAATCCAGTAAAAACGCCGATCCGAATTCCATCGCAGCCGTGTGGGTCATGGCAATATATAAATTAATCGCATTTTCTTCGGAAAGTGTAGCTAAACAGTAGATGTTCTAAAATTAATGTTAATATTATTATGCTCCCCGAAGGGAGAGCATACAGCCGCCACCTTGCCGTTGTGCTTACCCGGTGCATAACTTGAGATGATTACAATGGAAGTGGGCATTGAGTCGGCGTGTAGTGCCAATAAACCATAACTCAGGCAAAACATTTTTCAATTATCTCCCTAAAACGTGAGCGTTTATACCGGTCTAGACATGTTTTCAGTAACTTATTACATTTGAACATCAGGCTTATCATAAGACAAAGAATTTTCTAGATGTATGTTTTACGAAAACATAAGTTAAAATTTCATTTTTTTCTGCAATGATCACATCGTTGATAAAGAAATAATGCCGTTTTTATGCAAATTTGCTCTGAATATGCAATTGCCTCGGTTTCGTGATGGGTTTGGTATGAGGAAATGTTCGATTTGTTATGTATAATCAACGTTTTATTGATAGAGCCATGCATGTCCTCCATTTCTTGCCTGGGTTTTGCAGTGAGAAAAAATTTATTTTAAAAGATAGCATGTATGGTTGACATCGTACTGAGTTATATGTAATTATGTATGGATGTCATTGTACTGGATTATATGTCAGGATGACATTGTACTGTATTATATGTATGAATGACATTGTAACAGATTATATGTATAAATGACATTGAACTGGATTATATGTATGGATGGCATTGTATTGGATTATATGTATGGATGACATTGTAATAGATTATATGTATGGATGGCATTGTATTGGATTATATGTATGGGTGACATTGTACTGGATTATATGTATGAATGAAATTGTAATGGATTAAATGTATTGATGACATTGTAATAATTTATATGTATCAATGACATTGTCCTGGATTATATGTATGGATGACATTGTACTGTATTATATGTATGAATGACATTGTAACAGATTATATGTATAAATGACATTGAACTGGATTATATGTATGGATGGCATTGTATTGGATTATATATATGGATGACATTGTAATAGATTATATGTATGGATGGCATTGTATTGGATTATATGTATGGGTGACATTTTACTGGATTATATGTATGAATGACATTGTAATGGATTATATGTATTGATGACATTGTAATAATTTATATGTATCAATGACATTGTTCTGGATTATATGTATGGATGACATTGTACTGTATTATATGTATGAATGACATTGTAACAGATTATATGCATAAATGACATTGAACTGGATTATATGTATGGATGGCATTGTATTGGATTATATGTATGGATGACATTGTACTGGATTATATGTATGAATGACATTGTAATGGATTATATGTATTGATGACATTGTAAAAATTTATATGTATCAATGACATTGTTCTGGATTATATGTATGGATGACATTGTAATGGATTATATGAATGTTTGATTTTTTTTTATTGTACTGGATTATATGAATTGATGACACTGTTATAGAAGATATGTATGAATGACGCTGTACTGGATTATGTGTATGAATGACATAAAACTGGATTATATGTATGGATGACATTGTACTGGGTTATGTCTATGGATGATATTGTACATGATTATATGTATGGATGACATTGTACTGGATTATATGTTTGAATGACATTGTGCAGGATTATGTGTATGGATGACATTGTACTGTATTATATTCATTGCACTGGATCAAATGTATAGGTGACATTGTACTTATACTTATATTGTACTTACACTTATATGTATGGATGACAATGTAATGGATTATGTGTATGGATGATATTGTACTGTATTATATGTATGGATGATATTGTAATATATTATATGTATTGGGAACATTGTACTCACTACGGATGTGATTGTACTGAACTAAATGTATGTATGACATTGTACTGGATAATGTGTATGAATGACATTGTACTAGATTGTATGTATGGATGTCATTGTACTGGAAAATGTGTATGAATGACATTGTACTAGATTGTATGCATGGATGTCATTGTACTGGATAATGTGTATGAATGACATTGTACTAGATTGTATGTATGGATGTCATTTTACTGGATAATGTGTATGAATGACATTGTACTAGATTGTATGTATGGATGTCATTTTACTGGATAATGTGTATGAATGACATTGTACTAGATTGTATGCATGGATGTCATTTTACTGGATTATGTGTATGGAGGACATTGTACTGATTTTTACGTATGGATTTCAATGTACTGGATTATATGTAAGAAGATTGCACGTTTGGATGACATTGCAATGGATTATGTGCATGTTGAACATTGTACTGTGTAATGTCCCCGTCACACCGGTACGGGCCTTTCTAACGGCGATCAAAACTAGTGATTTTCGGTAAATAGCCAAAGTCGAACTTATTAAGAACCAAGTTTTCAAATTTTCGTTTACCGTCCTGCTATGTGCGTTTCCATTATGTTTATGGCATTTGCAGTGCGCTTACACGGCGTATTTATAAGGCGTTCCTAAGAGGTTCTTACGGCGTTTTTATGTTTTCATTGCGTTCTTTAGATGTGCACTACGACTTCCATTCAAACGGGGTCAACACGGCGTTGTAAGGACGTCCTAAAAATCCATATAGACCTAGTCGATCGTATTAAGAACTATCTATATGCACTGCAAACGCCCTTTATGTCACCATTGAGTCGCCTGTACATGGTAAACAACTTAAAATTGTGCGTTTATACAGCGACTATTAGGCATGTACAGCACGTTATCATTTACGTGCTTGGTATGTTAACGGGGTTCTTACTGCGGCATTTGCGTCCCTAGGGCGTTGAAGTCCAGGACTGAGAACGAACGGCGATCCTCAGTAATTGTTTTGTGCATCTTCAAAATAGTTGCCTTGATTCCTGAGGTGTTGATGGAGTCTTTTCGGCGACTAAGGTCGTTCTCAACTCGACCCTACGGCGTTATTTCGTTTTTAATGCGTCTTACGTCGCCCAGTAAACGCAGTAAGATGTAACGGGGGAATAAGCAAGAAATGTTTACGTTCAGGGAGTACTTAATTTTACTTTGTTTCATGTCTGTTTAAGGCAAATGTATTTGAAATTATTGATTTTGAACAATTTTTGTACAGATATTAAAAAAATCAAGTAACTCATATAAAAAATCTATATTTACCATTATATCTTTCTTTTAACAGATGTATCTGACAATTTGGTATATATCCTTCAAACCTAATTATTTTCGTCTACAATTCTCTCTCCTTTACAATTTCCATCAGAAGTTAAATGGAGCTGTTTATTTTTATGACACGACCTTCCTTGTTTTCAGTTAATTTAACCATTGTCAAAAAGAAAAATACTTTTTCGTTTGAGTATGTCAATTATAATACTGCCGCATCACTTAAAATTATCATCCGCAATAAACTAGTTACGTGAAATTACTGTTATATGATGGTACTTGAGCACTTATACACAAAGTAAGACATTCGTCCGGGTTCAGTGATGTAAATGGGAATTTTTTGTACGTATTTTAAGCGAATGTTCGTGAAAGAAAAAAAGTTATCTGAACCCATTGCAAAATATATGGACTGTCTGATCATGGTCAACACTCTTCTTTATCCGAAGCTTTTAAGTTTGGCGGAAAGGACCGAGAAAATACGATTGAGCGAATACACAGAACGGATACGGTATTTCGATGCGCATTTGTTGGCTTACTTTATTTATTATCTCGTGTAAAGTTCAGTTAAATTAAAACAAATCTATAGAAATTCAAGTAAACGGTATACATGTAATCTTTATGTTATACAAATCAAATATGTCTGATTTCCCATTTAATTAATTAAATGTATATATAAAGTATTAAATTTTAAGTATGGTGAGCTATGGTGGCATATTTCTACCACCAATTAACTATATAACTATAACTAGTTAATTAAGAGGTTAACTAGTTACGTAACTAGTTTTTTTTTTTTGAATAAATAAAAGATCATAACGGGAAATAATTGCATGTTAGTGCCTACAACTGCCATCTTTTTATAATTTTACCAGCTTAATATTAAGTGATTAACTAGTTACGTAACTAGCTAACCACTTAACTAACTAGTCAAGTAAGAGGTTAACTAGTTACGAGACTAGTTATCCCTTTAACTAACTAGTTAATTATATGGTTATCTGGTGGCAGAAATATGCCACCATAAATAGCATTCATGACAATTTATTTCAAAATCCCATTGTGGGGAAAAAAGAAGTCAAACAGTGATATTTAAAGTCTGATTGTTGAGTATGAAATATCGTCTTAATTTGGTGTATATTTATGCTAAGCTTTTTCAAAATCCCTTGATGGATGAAAAAGTTATGGACCGGTTACGAAATATACCTTCCATCAGACTATGTAGATCTTTGAACTCCAAGATTGACTTTGACCTAAGAGGTACGGGTCTGTTTTTTCCCTCTTAACACGTTGTCTTGTTATGGTGCATATTTGTATCATATTTGTGTCAAGTTATTTCAAAATCCCTAAATGGATGAAAAAGTTATTGGGCGGACACAAAGTATACCCTCCATCATACAATGTTGACCTTTGATATCATTGAACTTGAAGTTTTATTAGAGTCAATTTATTTTTTCGAATGATATGGTGAACATTTCCGTCTGTACTTATCGTGAAATTCGCCTGAAAATGACGAATGACTTAAATTTGTCCAAAAATAATTCTATATTTTTCGCATGACACGTCGTCTTGATATGGTTAACATTTGCGCCAATTTATTTTGAAATAATTTAATGACGAAGTGTGACGAACGGACAGATAGACAGACATACAGACGGACTGAGCCCAATTTCCACTTTTTTCTTCGAAAAGGGAGTAAAACAATAATGATATTGGGCTAGTATGCTTTTCATGATTACATGTAGTGCACATGAAAAATATCATGTGTAAACAAATTTAATGGCATGAATTATGTATCATTTCTCTGAAGTTATTTTTTTAAATGTTAACATTGCTTTACAATTTAACAACAACAACAACAACAACAACAACAACAACAACAACAACAACAAAAAAAACAAAACAAAAAAAAAAAAAAAAAAAAAAACAAACACTAATTATTTTAGGTTTTACTGTACCTGTAATGTTTATCACTGTAATAAAACACGTAGTTTAATGCCAAACAGATTAATGATTAACATCATTTTTTTAGTGTACAATGTATTATTGTATATTGTTTATAGTCACATGTTGAGACATTGTTAGTAAGTATTTAACTTATTTTATAATTGTCCGGACATACGATTCAAACATCATTTGATTATGTGTCACTCTTACATGTTTATGTCTAAATATGGTTATGAAAGTGTGTAGCTTTCATTTTTTAAGGAAACTTTTAAGCTAGAAAATGAAAGTAGATAAAAATTTCAACGAGAATAGGAACACTACAGGAATTTGTATCTAAATTATAAAAACTGATATAATTATCTAAGATCAAGTATATATTGTTAATAAAAGAGCCAATAAAAGCAAGACAATCTCAGCACTTTTATTATTATATATGTCTAAAATACTAAACAGATTGAGGAAAAAATGCAAATATTGCAGTTCTTGTTAGATTGCTATTTTAAAACAACAAAACACCTTAGATTTCACTTTCTTATACATTATCTACAATATAAATAAAGGTTAGTGTGGTGGAGTGATAAATATGGCTGTCTAGAATCTATATAAGGATTTCTGTCGGCGTGAATTAAAAACCCGTCAGGACCAAGCCGTTGCTTCCTTGAGCAAGACACTACACTCCCTGCATATTGTATATAGTAGTCTTGAGGTAATAAATATTATGCTGAAGTTTTTGTTGTTGTTGCTTAGTACTGCATGGTTGGTTATAGGAACGAATACAAGAGTGTTTGTCTGTAATCTTGTTGCTTCCTAAACAATCGAGCTAAAATAAATTCTAAATAAAATAAGTGGTGCCAAATATATGTTTGTCACATCATGCATAGTTATCTCTAAGTCATTCCAACATGTTTGGTATAGTTTACTACTTTAATTCAAATCTGTATGAATCTGCTCTGATGGAAGATTAAAAAATTGTTAATTTGTGTTATCAAAGGCAAATTAAGCCGTATACGTGAATATGTTTTGCTTTCGGTAGAATGATAAAACATTAAAGAGCTGCGTCACAACAAAACCAACATAATGGGTTTTCGACAAGCATGGAACCAGACCAGCCTGCGCATCCGCGCAATCTGATCAGGATTCATGCTGTTCGCTTACAAACCCTTTAACAATTAAAGAAACTGATAGCGAACAGCATTGATCCTGATCAGACTGTGCTGCGCGGATGCGCAGGCTGGTCTGGATCCATGCTGGTCGCAAAGCCATTATGTTGGTTTTGTCATGACACGGCTCAATTTTTTTTTATAACGTTATAATACTTTTGGCTTTAATGTACTCATACTGTAGTATATGTCACCTGGGCATCTGATTCTGTTTTACCACACCCCGCACACTAGCTAACAGTTTTCCATTACAAGTAGAATGAAGTCTGTTTTTTGTATTCAAGACAACAAATGCATTTTGGAGCTTTTGTGGTAGATATCAACAGCGTCCGCAAATTTCAACAAATACCCTACAATTTATCGCCAATTTAACAAAATGCATTTAAAATTTGCAGAAAATAGCAAATACTGCTCTAGCCAGACCTATTTAGATTCACAACAATTGTTTAATTAGAAACAATCGATTAAGTTATGATGGAGAAATAACTTGGAAGTGAACGCGATGTAAACCTTTTTACTTTTGCTTTCGGTGTTTTGAGGGGTTATTTCCGGTGAACGCTGTACAACAATGATACATAGTACAAAGTATATCTTCCGTTGTAACAAAAGATTATATTGTTTTCAAATTAATACTAAAATGTGAGTACTGTAACCCAATTTATATTCGCGAATACAAATTTTCGCGTTTTGCTGAGGTCGGACATATTCGCGAATATTAATTTCCGCGTTTTCTTGATTTCCGAAAAAAATATATTCGCGGATTGGAAAGTCCGATGGGGATGTAAAATCCATTAGCCGACTATTAATCTTCAATAATTGAGGTCATTATTGGTGTCCTAAATGGGATTAACAATACGCTAGCTATTGTATTTGTAAGTGAATTGTGATCACAATTCAGCAAAACATTTTCTCTATATCTGTACATGTACGCATCGTTCGTCTTCATTTTATCTTGAAAAGTCTTTAAGAAATTCAATTTAAGCGTTTCATAAAAAAAATACCTTCTCCAATCAGGGATCGAACCCAAGCCGAGAAAATTATGTTATATGAGTCCGCAATCTAACCAACTGAGCTATACAGGCTGTTAAGTTTGACGGGTAAAAATCGATACTAGTATGAAACCATCTTGTATTTCACTATTTGTAATTATGTACACCCAATACTCTTTTGTGATGCTCGATAGGTTTATACCACCTTTGTCTTAACAATTCACTCAAAAAATTATTTTATAGGATCAAAAAAAACAATAGCCTTTTGTGATGCTCGATAGTTTTCCCACTTTTGTCAAACGATTTATTCAAACATTTATTTTAAAATAAGTGCGAGTACTTTGTATGCATATACTTGGTATAGAAGTGTAAATATGAAGAAACTTAAAACTGACACATGCTCTGTACCCTATACGGAACGTGATTGACAATAGGCCTACTAGTATTTCATAAACTGTATTAAAATGTGGATGTTTATTTTGATTGCTATATTGACATAGGGTTCTTTTGATATTTATAAAACAGTACTGTAGTAGTTTACTTAGTTTGTGTTTTTAATGCTTTATGGCAATATTCATAACAATTCATTACTTCCTAACAAGTGCCCGTAAAATTCGAATATCTCCGGTCAAGTAGCTTTGCATAACCACGTCTAAAATAAAAATTTCTCTCCAATTTATTCGCGAAATCGTGCGGACTTATTCGCGCAAACAAATATTCGCGCTTCGTTGCCATCCGCGAATAAAGCGAATATTAATTGGTCGCGAATATTCGTAGGGTTACAGTATTTGTCCTATAATTTAGGTTTACTCTAGACAATTTTTAAATGTTTACATGTTGTATTATGTTAATCATTGTTTTAACAAATAAAACAACAAAATAACAATAATTTCATAAATATCTTGAAGGCAAGTCAAACAATTGTCCAATGTATTTCAATTCTCTTGTGGTTTACTTTACATTTAATTAAACAACATCCGTCTAAATTAACATGTTTTACACGGTAAGAGTATATATATATATAAACATGCTTTACACTGTTAGTTATCAATCTTACAGATCTTGTATTATTGTGTGCCAAAAATGAACAATATCGTACTAACATTTGTAAGTAATATTTTAACAATTTTTGAATTTCTGCCAGATTCCGCTATATTGTTATATATACCTGATTTTCTTTACGAATATTAAATGTCATTTGGGCTAGCTAATATGGTAAAAGTAGCAGATATTAGATAGTTAATTACGAAGAATAACTAGTTAAGTTACTGGACATGAATTCCAATTGAGTGGCGGTATGGCCGAGTGGTTAACATGTCGGACTATTGCGTTGGTTGACTTGAGCTTTAATACCCATTGCTTACTACTGGTTTGTTCTAGGAACGGATTCGCGAGTGTTTCAACACATTCGAACTAAAATAAATTTGTATAAACTAAACAAAACAATTATAAACAATACAACATGTATAGTTTATTATCTAGAAAGAGATGTTTACTTTTCAAAGAACATTTGAGTCGTGTCACGACAAAACCAAAATAATTGGTTTGCGACCAGTATGGATCCAGACCAACCTGCGCATCCGCGCAGTCTGATCAGGATCCATGCTGTTCGCTTAAAGACCCTATAACAAGTAAAGAAACTGATAGCGAACAGCATGAATCCTGATCAGACTGCGCGGATGCGCAGACTGGTCTGGATCCATGCTGGTGGCAAACCCATTATGTTGGTTTTGTCGTGACACGGCTCATTTACATTCTAACGTTGTTATTAGATTATTTAAATAATCATAAACAGAAGAAAACAATGGCCATATTATCTTATTTCTAAATTCATCAGATTTGATTAACAAACGACACATTGGCATGGTATCCACCCATAGAAAATACAACATTAAACTAATTTTTACCAGAAAATAATACTACTGATATTGCAATATTTAAGGTATGCTTGAGTTTTCAATGCCTTCATGCAAGGACAGATATATACTCTGGACGACTGCGAAAACCGAAATTACAAACGTGTACAAGCTCCATGGAGTGTCATAAAAGAATGTGTTGCAGAGACAATGACAGAAATCTTGTTGGTGTAGAAGATTTAGGAGTGGCAGCAATTTTGGGTATATTTGTATATGTTTTCACTTTTGTTTAGAATTAATAGTATTTAGTCAATACTAAAGAACGGGATCGAAGCTGCCATTTTTATCGCTTTTTGATTTTAAAGAATTCCTATAGCATTGTTATATTTTATGGTCCTTTGGGATATATTGAATTCAGTGCACTTAAGTGTTAAAGCTGAAAATTTGGCGTATGCCAGGGCTACAAGAGAACATACACAACTCATCCGAGTCTACGAATTCCACCGATTTATTTTTGGCATGATTGCCGTCGAGGAAGCCCTATTTAAGCGTGTTTCTATAATGATAACTTACAAGTTTCGGATGTACATACATATTTTCGCTATGTACAATGAGGTTTTCTCCATTACTATTCTTTTAGATTTGAAAGGCATCATTAATTTTTATTCAGGAACATTCCTTAAATATTACGTTAACTATGTTAAAGGTATTGGAACGTGCTCGAAACTGAAAAGTGGACCTGGTGAAGTATGTCTGGACCAATGTGGTTGCAAACGAGGTAACGTTTTTCTCTAACACATCATTTATTTAAACAATAATTATTGCATAGTGTTCTCGCGATCCAGAGCCGTCCGGTTAGCTCAGTAGGTACAGAATTGGGTCATCCGAGTTCGATTCCCGGACTGCGCAGGTCACTTTCATTGTGATTGACCATGAAATCCTTTCTACGGTCATTCGCACTGTACCTCTGCTCTGGCATGTACAGAAGTTTCAGTTCTTTGCGAAAATGAAGGTAACTAGTACTGGTAAACTGCTTGACAGCCTGTCCAGGGACAATGCATGGCTGAATTGTGCTCTGGTAAATTCAGTGTGGCTTACTGTCGTGACCCGGAGTGAAAACTACCAACACCACCACCTCTCGCAACCCAACTGTGTGTATTTCGGGGGAGGGGTACTTGACTTCACTCTACCCTTCGGTGCGTGTTGTGGAGTTAAGCTTCATTCTCAAACTGACGACTGAAAAGTAATGCCAATGTCCTGACATAGACCAAGGGGAGCGACCCTACAAAGTAAGTAGGGGCAAAAGGAAAGTGCGCTAGGGTGTGTGAGCCCCTAGCACGGAGAGTTATGGCTTGAAAAGCAGGCCCTTTGTTGTCATAACAGTCCGTTTTAGGGATACTTCAGTAGCAATCACTTAGCCTACTGTGCTATTGTAGATGTGATGACGACATATACATTAAGCTAGTGTGACTTTTCGAAAAAAAAAAATGTTTGTATTTTCCATGACAATTCTCGTAAATTACACGGGCAGTACGTTGTAATATACATGTACTCATAATTGACTGGTTAATAAAATCAAACTATATACAAAGTTAACGCACTCTGTTTTTATTCATATGTAAAACCACGTGTATGATTTATTTCCCATCCGTATTAATTTATAAATATAAAAATATTATGAATGATTGTCGATGTGTTCCGATTGAAGTGTTCGTCGGAAACACTCGCAACTTTTCGGAATTCAAAAACAAGGAAAGATGGTAAAAAGTTTAATTGTATTCAAGATAAAGCCGATACGATTTGTTTTCAGGATACATGTGTTATCGTACAGTTTCCGGTGTCTGTTGTCCTCCAAAGACCTGCTGGGAGCGCAAGAAGGCATTGGCTGATAAAGAATTCTGGGATAACTGCAGACCTCCTACATGTTTCTTTCCACCGTCTGCCAACCCAAGCAATGGGAAACAAGGAGGGCTATAGAAAAAAGTTGCTATTTAAAGCTTGTATTATTTGTTTCCTTTGTGTTTGTTTTATAAAGAAAATGCTGTTAAACATGGTTGTACCATATTCCACATCAAAGGCTAACATTTTCTGCTTTGTTAATACTGTTTATACTGATGTTAGCAAAATAAGTGACGCATATACGCTTGAATTTTCGTAAGAACATGTACATCGGTTTTGATTTAATTTTCTGTATGTAATTGTAATAACCACAACTCTTGTTAATACAAATTTTAGTGAACATCGTAGTTGCATGCCGTTATTATTAAATCCTCCTGAAAAGAAGTATAAAACGAAAGTGCCGACAAAATCGCTTTTACAAGAAACAAGTCTGTCTATAAGCTATGAAAAGTGTTATATACTGTCGACTTTAAATGTTTGGTAAATTTCGGAAGTGCCGAAAAAACGCTTGTACTAGCAACAAGTCTATCAGCTTTGAAGTGTTATTTATTGTCGACTTTAAATGTTTGTTTTATTTCAATTTCAAAATACTACTTACGTTTACAACAGCCTTTTTTATAAAAGGCCCACAATGTTCTCAAAAACTTTTTTTTTGTGCGCTAAATATCGCGACTTAAAAGTCGCGGATTTTTCCCCACGACTTTATGAAAAGTCATTGTTGATGAACAAAAACTCGCGGCCTATAATTTTTCCCCTCGACTTTTTGTAGAATTTCTACAACACTTGCAAAAAAAACAACAAAACATTTTTTTTCTGTTCCTCGATTTTTTCGGCCGAAGGCCGTCTGATTTCACATTGACTTCCGCTTAAATTAACAGTAAAGAAAAAAATGAATATAGGCAGAATTTTCATTGGTCATTTTTTTCACTAAAAGCCTGTTCGATTGATACTTTAGAAGAGCTTCCGTTATAGGTAAAGGTCTGTTCGATTGTGCGATGGCAAGAAGTGTTGGAAAAAGATGTAAATCAGAATAAATGTAAAAACACAATAATGATATTTTCTAGATGTTTCTAACAGCTTTTCAATAATTATATAAAATTAAATATGACAGATCGCCTATTTGATACGTTTGCTTTCGATTGGGTTTCTCTTATAAGCTGTTCTAGTCATTATATTCTCTTCTCTAACCGGGCATAACACGATTGAAACGAACTTTCGACTTATTTACAGTTGCAAAATTCTCCATGGAAATAGTGTACAGTATCTACTAAATTTTTGTTTTAATATAATTTCCTATTCAAATCAAATTCCATTTGATTAAAATCAAATAATTTAAGATATATTATTTAAATCTAAGGGGAAAAACATTGCGGGTAAAAATGAACTGAAATAAAACTATTGAGGACGAAAACATGTTCTGTTTGCGGTTAGCATGGTTAGTAGTAGCTTATTCCATGCAAGTTAACAAGTTTGACTTCGACCAAGTATCTTTTTAAAGATACCGCTTGTTTTATATAGACAAAGGAGGGATAAAATGTAAAGCGCTACCAGCCACTGAAGTCAAAATGTTCCTTGCTATTTCCTATGATTAAAGTTGATCATGAAAACTATAAAAGTTATCGCGGGTTTGAAATGGCCGCAACCGGCTACCATAGGTACCACACTCATAAAAGTAAAATTTGAATATATATGTTAAATCAGCTATGTGACACGTTTTATTCACTGTGTAATTTTTCACTTTAATAATATATACTTCCTCTTCTTCTCTTTTTATTACTTGTTTTGAACCATTTTCTTTCACGTTTCGTCATTTTGCGAAACCGGTAGAAGTTTAGAACGAAATAATCAATTAAAATCCGGTTTGTAAAAGAAGAAGAAAACAAAAAACAGTAAAATGTATGAATATTCATTCAACACTTTAAAGTATATACGTAAATTATGAGTGACTTCATCATTATTTATAAGATCTTTAAATATTCATTAATATATAACATAAATCTTGGGTAAATGGGAAATACAAAAGAAAACAACAAAAAACTATTTACTGAAGAAATTGAAGTTTGTAATCAGCTCTTTCTCATATATAAAATCCCATATTATATATAATGGCACCATCTGTTTAATACAGTGAATAAATGCATGATGAAATATGTTTTTGTTTTATCAGCTCGGTATATTATCATTTATATTATCAACCTGGCTCACATAATTGTTTTAAACATGTTAATAGTTGTTGGAGTTCAAAGAATAATACCAAACAACAATTTTCTTACGTCAAACATTCCGATAGTAAGTATAAACAACACAGGGACTTGATGAAATGTATATTTTTTAATTGTTGATTAATTTCTCATTGAAAGCATGCGCTAGATGAGCATATTTACAATGTTTAATCCGACAATCCCTTTTTTAAATACTTTTTCAATTAGCAGGACACAGTCTCATACATCTTTTATTCTAGTTTTATAATGTGATGTTGTTAAAGTGTTATATTATTATATGAATTAACTATTTTCAGCACAAAAAATAAGATTCACATATTGCTGTATGAATGTAGTAAGAATATAAGGTCTCTTACCCGTAGAATATTTATTTTACGTTACATTCAGTCTTTAAACACTTTCATAAAATCACATAAAGGCAGACGAGCCTCGGTGTCAAAACACATCGTAAAAATACAATTCAAATAGATATGCATACAAATGTGTCGAAATAAGTGATAAATAAAATTCAGAAATAATATTCAAATATGTTAAAGGGACTGAGGTATTTTGACATGATGGAACTGAAAATATTTTTTCCAGATAAATGTACCATTTGATGTAGGTTTACACCACGAATCTTTGTGAAAAATTTCAGAGCATTCGCGCACTTCGTTTTTCCAGAATAATTATTCAAAATGAAAAGTGTTTAAACGCTTTTCACCCAAATCGGGCTAACAAAAACATAAAAATACGATTTTCAATTTATTTCAAAGTATATTTCTTAACTATCTTCGCATATATATTTCTGTTTAAAGTGCCCAGCTCATTTATGTTAGAAATTCAAATGTTATGTGTTTAGCTTTTCAACCTCATTGGAGTCCCTTTAAGAATATTTAAAAACAAACTGTACAAGAAACAAAAATCTTTATTTTGTTTTTATTTTTGCTTACCATTTCTAAATCTGTGCAATACATAAATTATATAATTATAATCTAATTAAAATGTCATGATAATTAGAAAATGAGCACTTATGTGACAGACTATAATTTATTTTGGAAGCAAAATCATACTGAATAAAAAATATATATGCATATTCGCAACTGCAGACTCGAATGTACACCCAATATAACCATTACTCAACTCGGATTCATTACTGTTTTTTCATTACTGTACAGTATAACATAGCGGCCCTAAAAGTATTATTTATTTCTAAAGAGTTCCAGTACATTTTACCTCTGTAGAGCAACCACTCTAGGCACCAAAGGGCATTTCTCTGTAGAGGTTATACTGTATATTTTAGTTATTTATTTTAGTTATATTTATTATAAATACAAAATATAATTATTAACTAACTTGTGCAACTTTTGTTACCACTGAATACAAATAATTTATTCAGCTTAATAACCTATATTATTAACCTTATTACACATGGCAAGGATCAGATACATGTACAAATATGGTATACATGAAGCGGAGGGATACATTAAGTACTACTTTTCTTAGAAAAGCGCAGCACCGATCGTTGTTTTTTCTTTGCAATCTGGAAGCCAACGAAGAAGGTAGTTGTACTGACGCTATGTTTAAAACTTAAAATTTAAATATTTTTACATAATTAAAATGCTTTTAAGACAATTTTAAGAGCATGTACATTATTAAAACCTAGACTATTTCTCTTTTAGAAAGGAAATATATTTCTAAATTGGCTATCTATGTGTTTTTATAAAAAATATTTTGAACGCCACGTGGCCTGACTGACCCCGAGCGAATCAGTTTTCGTGTTAAATGGGTAGATTATATATTTTTTTTCAGAATCTTAAAATACAAAAGGAAGATAAATGTAGATTAATTTGTTTAATCTTTATTAAATTTATTTACTAAAATTGTGATTGTTAAGTTTACGGTTGACTGTCTGAAATATTAATGTTTAATGACGTCACAGTGACTGTTGATTTCTGACGTCAGAGCACGTACACTTTATATTTATTTTTCTTTCTTTCTTTCTTTCATATCGATTTCGTACTGAGTCAAAATGCCGAAACGAAAAGCAAATTCATTGCCAGCACAAGTAAAGGCTGTTCGGAGTGCACGGCTGCACACCCAGAGGCCACTTGGCAGACCGGATATAGTCGCTACACAATCACAGTCAGTTCTACCGGAGGTGGAAAACAATAGTCAGGCATCGGTATTGGAAGACCAACAGCAGCATGATAATGGTAATACTGTTGATTTTCCTTCAAACATTGTCAAATCTTGTGGTACTAATATGTTAGCCGCTAACGTTAAAGAAAGTATAAAAGGAAAAATATGGAATAATCAATTCATTGAGCTTCATGACCTGCTGCAAAATAATATAAAATCAGAACAGAAATTACATGTAGTCAATGGTGAAATAATCATCTCGGAGAAAAGTAAACACTCCGATAAGACACTAGAAAGGATCGAATCTTGGTCGGATGCCTTTATTATTTTTATTTACATATATACTCAGAAATTTCCTAATGAAATTCATAACCTTTTGCAGTATTTAGCCAATATAAGGCTTGCTGCAACAAGACACGACGGTTGGGCAAACTACGACAGACAATTTCGTTTAAAGAAATCTATACATGATGGTATTGGCTGGCATTCCTTAGACCCGGAGCTTTGGCTCATATCCATGAAACCGCTACAATATAGTAGTAACGACAATAATGTAAATGCAAAAAAGTGTTTTCAGTACAATAATTTTGGAACTTGCACAAGACCTAAATGTCAATATAGCCATACCTGCTTAAGGTGTCAAGGCATGCACGCCATGATAACGTGCCGTCAGTTCAGCGGTTTACCGTTGCAAAGCAGCGGTTTACCGTTGCAAAGGTTCCATAACCCTGTTAACTTTTCGGGTGCCCCTTATCGTCCAGTCAGGACACACATATCTGGTGTTCATTTCAGGAGCCAGTTATCACCAAGACACATTATACCGGGAAACCAAGGCCCTGGAAGGTTTATGGGACCTAGGCCAAACCCCAATCAACGTTAATAATGTAAAGCACGAACTTGCAAAATATCCTAATCAGTCTGATGCTAGTTTCCTTCTAAATGGTTTTCAATATGGTTTTAAATTGTATTATACAGGTCCCAGGATTCCTATATTCTCAACAAACTTAACTTCAGTTAAACATGATCAGACGATGTTAAAACTTAAACTTCACGAATATCGCAAACTTGGTAGAATCACAGGTCCATTTACGTTACCCCCTTTACCTAATCTTAGGATAAATCCTGTCGGTCTCGTCCCAAAGCGGACCGGTGGATTTCGTCTGATTACAAATTTGTCGTTTCCGGCTGGTATCAGCGTAAATGATTACATTGACCCAGATTATAAGCACGTGACATATTCTTCGTTTGATAATGCAGTAAATATGGTTCAAAAACTTGGAAAATGCGCATTTATGGCGAAAGCCGATATTTCGTCAGCATTTAATTTGTGCCCAATTTGGCCAGGTGATTTTGATTTGCTAGGCATTAAATCAGATGAAGGGTATTGGATACAAAAGACATTACCAATGGGAGCGTCTTGTTCCTGTTTCATTTTCGAAAAATTTTCAACTTTTATTGAGTGGTTGGCCAAAAAGGAAGCAAAGTCTGATTATTATGATCATCTTTTAGATGATTTCATTATGATGCATAATTCGTTCGATAACTGTCAGTTTCTCATGTTAAATTTTTTAGAAGTATGTGCACGTCTTAATGTTCCATTAAGCAAAGACAAATGGGAGGGTCCAGTAAAAATTATTACGTATTTGGGTCTTGAGATTGACGCGTGCGAACAAATGATACGCGTTCCGCAGGAAAAAATTTATAAAGCAAAATCGGCATTATTATCTTTGATTGAAAGTAAAAAGGTTACCCTTCAACAGCTGCAAGCGCTTACCGGTTTGTTAAACTTTTTAGCTAAAGCGTTACCGTCAGGGAGAGCATTTATTCGCAGGTTCTATGATAGAATGTCGAAAGTAAAAAAATCATTTCACTTTGTTAGGGTCTCTAAGGATATGAGAGACGACGCTTTTACTTGGTTACAATTTCTTGAAGAGTTTAATGGTACACGAATATTTAATGAGTCCGAATGGTTTGAAAATGACGTTCTTGAGTTATATACGGACGCTGCTGGAAACAGAAATATGGGATGCGGTTGTTATTTCAATGGTTCATGGTCTGTATTTAAATGGCCCCAGACCTGGGAGGAAAACATATTTAAAGACATTACATATTTAGAACTTATTCCAATCCTTCTAGCGTTACATATCTGGGGTCGGTTGCTAGAAAGGAAAAAGATAATATTAAGGACTGATAACGCTGCCCTGGTTGATATTCTGAATAAAAAGTCATCAAGGAACAAGAATGTAATGGTACTCATACGTTCTTTAGTCTTGGTAACTCTCAAGAGAAATATTCAAGTAAAAGCAAAGCACATTCATGGTAAACGTAACAAAATTTGTGACGCTATTAGTCGTTTTCAGTGGCAAAGACTTCACAGACTTCTGCCGGACTCCGCGTCAAGGACGCCATGCTCGATCCCGGACTCTTTCCTTCAGATATTGCGCTTGAACATGAAGTAGATAGGCTTATATATGCATCTTTGGCAGACAGCACTCGCAAGTCTTACCATTCAGCCGTATCGGCGTTTGAAGCTTTTTGCATAAATGTTGGTTTTAAACACATTTGGCCTCCAAACGTTGACGTAATATGTCAATATGTAGCATTCATGTCTTTAAAACAATTTTCGTACTCACATGTGAATATCCACTTATCGGCCATTAGTTATATCAACAAAATGAGTGGTTCTGTTGACAATACAAAACAATTTATCGTTAGAAAAATGGTCGAAGGTTTGCGACGAGTTAAAAGAAAAAACGATACAAGAGACCCAGTCACACACGATATCCTTGAGAAAATCATTCAAGCATTACCATTAATTTGTAGGTCAAAGTTTGAGTCTCTATTATTTGCAGCAGCATATTCATTAGCATTTATAGCACTGCTCAGAGTAAGTGAGTTTACTCTCCCAGGCAAGAGATCAAAAAAGCCGGTGCTTCAGTTCGAGGATGTAACAATCTCGGATACTTGTTTACGGTTGATAATAAAATCCTCAAAAACTGATCAAAGGTGTAATGGTTGTTCTGTCGTTATTCCAATAGATCCCCAGAATAGATTCTGTGTAAAGCATATAAGGTCATATATATATTACCGTCCGACTCATGGGGGTCCACTGTTCTGTCATTTTGATGGTTCCCCATTAACCAGTTTTCAGTTCAATGCAGTATTGAGAAAGACCTTGAGTTTTATCGGTCTTGGTACAAAGACTCTAAAGTCGCATTCCTTCAGGATTGGCGGGGCCTCAAAAATGTTTAAAGACGGGTGTTCAATCAGTGAAATCAAAGTAAGAGGTAGATGGCGTTCAGGTGCTTATAAAACATATATCCGTTAATCCATGCTGTCGCAAATGCTTTGTAAATTCTGATTTATGTGTTATATCAGTGTGGGTTTTATTTTGATATTTTTTTTAAGTTATTTTTTTTAAATTATTTATCCCACCATTCTTATTGACTGATTTATAAAAAAAGGTTTAACTGTACCTCCATCGTGCTCTGTCACTTGCATGCACATATCATAAGTTTTCTAATATGTATATAAATGTTTAAATTGAATACAATTATCAAAAACGTATATATATAAGAATAATATACATTAACTGAAACAAAGATAAATATAGATATAAGATATTATGTTCTGTATATACGTTGGTACATGATGTTACCAAGTTTGTTTGTTTATTTGTTCGTGTCTAAAGGATCTGCCAAATGACCTTGTTATGGTCCGGCGATCTGTTTTAAGTTTAATTTGCAATAACAGTGATGTCCAGCGGTTTTGGCTTCGTTACTGAGTCAATTTCGCAATTTTTAAAATCTTAATGGAATATGATTGCATTTCTTAGCTATTAATTACTTACTGTCTGTTCCCGATATTATATTAAAAGTATATAGGCAAGATTTTAGACCAATTCATTGTTATCCAATTTGGAAGTAACCTTTTAGTCGGTTAGTTTATATTTCACATTTAATAATACCGATAATATTCCTGTACAAGAAACATGGATACAACCGTTTTCTCACAGTAGTTAAGAATTTAAATGCTTTTAATCATTCAGCTTTACAGTCCAAGGGAATTCATCTATATCAATGGTGTGATTTCAGGTTACACCTATGACAACATATTTCATGTATGGGTGTGTGGTTCGTCGCTGGTCACTGGGGCATCGAATCGGGCCTCGGAACGCCCTGACGGACATAACATTGGGATGGAGAATTTAGGGGTGAAGGTTACATGGTTAGGTATGAGCGGGATGAGGGTACACCATTTAAAGGAAACGATAAGTTACCATCTTCAGTTTAATCCGAAGCCTGATATGCTGATCATTCATTGTGGGGGAAATGACATAAGGTGCCAAGATAGACCTGGTCTAGAACTCAGTTGGAAACTTAAAAAATTATGACGGTAATGACGACTACGACCTTAACGGTGACATTGAAAGTATCCAACAAAAGTTGCCAAACTGTAGAATGATATATTCTCAAATTTTACCACGTTTAACATGGCGTTACTATGCAAATCAGCTATGACAATGTTTACGCCAAAAACTTAATAAAATAAATTTAGTAAAACTTTAATCGGTGTTGAGTCTTTGTCGATGGGTAATGTATTATGTTGACGTTATCATGTTCATTTTTTAATACAATACAGTTTGCTTTAAAACAAAAATAAAAAAAAAAAAACAAGAAAAAAAAAAACAACAAAAAAAAAAAACCCAAACACACACCAACAACACGTGTTTATGATGTTAGCAATAAAATTGACTTCTCCCTTATTAACGGAGATCATAATCAGGTTTTTTTTTACTTTGAATATTCTTCTGTTGCCACGTTGTAATCGGTAAAGTGGTTTACGCTGAATTCGGAAGGTATGGATTCGAGACACGATTGCTTATTGTACTAATAGATTATATTTTAGAATTGTTTACTGTCTATGAAACGTTTCAAGGTCCACCTCGGACTCCTGTCATTCATTTCCAAAGAGAAGTTGATACTGTGAGAAACACTGGTACCGTTAAATTCCCTCCGCTTTAATTGAAATACTGTTGAAAGCGGCGTTAAACCCAATATTAAAAAATAAGAAAATATAAAACATAAATGCATAGTTCATTATTTTCATAGGCTCTACATAGCACTGCATTATGTGCAGACAAAAAACGAGCTTCTCCAACAACCATATTCTCAAAAATTGAGGATCCTACATGGTCTTCAATACAAGGGAATCTGTATTTAATATGCAAAATTCTCCGCTTCTGAACATACAAAATAAATCAACGGAACTTTCGCCTTTAATCGAGAAATGATCGCGGCTTCAGGTCGCCTCAAATATGCGCTAGTAAACGCATACCGCGAGTCAGCTAGTTTAAAATAAATAAGAATATCTGTAATTATGTGAAATACGTGAGAAATTAAAGCCATAGCATGAGAGCGTGATTCCTGCTTTAAATGTGAGTCTCACGCTTAGTGCAGGGTATTTAGCTGCGAGAGAAAATATGATATCTGATTGCTGTTAATAAATAAATTTATACGTGAAGAAAATTTTTGAATTAAATGTCTGCTAGATTTTATAATATAATTAAGACTACCAGTGAATCATGGCTTACGTACAAATCGTTGCTACTTCCAGTTGATCATATATTTTTGAAACATAAATTTGATTTATTTCCTACCACAGACATATAGATGTTATCTATGTCTCTGTTCCTACTAACTGATATATACAATTCAAAATTGTTACATATGATAACATGGAAGTTTATGTTGTACCGAGATATACATAACATGATGACATTGCGACTGCATCAGCCTTTTCATTCTTTTTTTCTGACATTCTTTGCAAAATTTATGTTTTTATAATTTCCACTTAGGTGGCCCTTTAATTATATCTTTCAATATTCTGAATTGTCTTTCAGTCCTCGAGGTATTTATATCCATTCGTTGCAGTTTTTCAGCTATTGATACCAACTTTTGCAGACAGTTATACCCTGATTTGTTGTACATGTATATAATTGAAGATATTCATCGAAATGCAGGCATCTGCCAGGACTTTTAAAAGAATATTTTTACGGAACATGTCTACAAACTATTGTTGATGATGGTTTTCACACATTTTTATTCCTGTCAGTATGTTATTTATCGAAAAAGTCGTGAAAATTTCCTTGAAAAAAATATTTGACGTCACCAAAATCATTACGTTTTACTCACCCTTTATTTTATATTCAAATAGTAATAGCAAAATATCTTACGCGTTGACCCTATATTTTTATTGCATAAATATTTTCTTTTATGACTTCATTACATGCTTAAAAAATTAAAGCAAAATTCACCGTGTTGATTTTTTATTATTTCACAATCTTTATTGCGATATCGCGCGATATTTGCATCAAATATGGACGTCAGAACAAGAAGAAAATACCGTAGAATCGCAGAGTATTAAGCAAATGTTCAAGAAAGACATCATTACAAAGACATACATTTACTGAACATTATAAAATTAAAATGAAGGAAATCGGATGAAAATTGATAATAACAGACATGTTTATTGATAAAAAAGACGCAATTCGCCGCCACCGATAGAGGGCGCTTTGACGTCATAGTAACGCTGTTTATTTATAAAATAAAGCTGCAGAAGTAAAGCTTACATATCTACACGTCTGTATACCAGAAATCATCAAGATCTGAGATATTGTCGAATTTCGGTCGGAAAGTAGCGAGCTACCTTAAGTCAATGTGTTTTATGACGTTACACAAGGGACATTGTCAAAATTATTTCCATTTCTTAGCAATGAAAGTCGTCATATTGAAATAAATACTGAGAAAAATTGTTCTTAAAGTTAAAGCTTGAAATATTTTACCCATGTGACCAGTGTAGATCAACAACATATTATACCCAGGTAACGAGTGCAAACCAACAACATATTGTACCCATGTAACCAGTGCAGACCAACAAAATATTATACCCATGTAACCAGTGCAGACCAACAACATATTATACCCATCTTACCAGTGCAGAACAACAAAATATTATACCAATGTAACCAGTGCAGACCAACAACATATTATACCCATCTAACTAGTGCAGAACAACAAAATATTATACCCATGTAACCAGTGCAGACCAAAAAAATATTATACCAATGTTACTAGTGCAGACCAACAACATATTATACCGATGTAACCAGTGTAGACCAACAACATATTATACCCATGTAACCAGTGCAAACCAAAAAAATATTATACCAATGTAACATGTGCAGACCAACAACAAATTATACCCATGTAACGAGTGCAGACCAACAACATATTATACCAATGTAACCAGTGCAGACAAACAACGAATTATACCCATGTAACCAGTGTAGACCAACAACATATTATACCCATGTAACCAGTGCAGACCAACAACATATTATACCCATGTAATTAGTGCAGACCAACAACATATTATACCCATGTAACGAGTGCAGACCAACAACATAATATACCCATGTAACAAGTGCAGATCAACAACATATATATACCCATGTCACGAGTGCAGACCAACAACATATCATACACATGTAACAAGTGCAGACCAACAACATATTATACCCATGTAACGAGTGCAGATCAACAACATATTATACCCATGTAACCAGTGCAGACCAACAACATAGTATACCCAATGTAACGAGTGCAAACCAACAACATATCATATCCATGTAACCCGTGCAGACCAACAACATATTATACCCATATAACCCGTGCAGACCCACAACATATTATACCCATGTAACGAGTGCATACCAACAACATATTATACCCATTTAAAGAGTGCAGACCAACAACATATGCCCATGTAACGAGTGCAGACCAACAACATATTATACCCATGTAACGAGTGCAGACCAACAACATATTATACCCATGTAACAAGTGCAGACCAACAACATATTATACCCATCTAATCAGTGCAGACCAACAACATATTATACCAATCTAACCAGTGCAGACCATTAACATATACCCCTGTAACCAGTGCAGACCAACAATATATACCCATGTAGCGAGTGCAGACCAACAACAAATTATACCCATCTAACCAGTGCAGACCAACAACATATTATACCCTTGTAACCAGTGCAGACCAACAACATATTATACCCATGTGACGAGTGCAGACCAACAACATATTAAACCCATGTAACAAGTGCAGACCAACAACATATTATACCCATCTAATCGGTGCAGAACAACAAAATATTATACCCATGTAACCAGTGGAGACCAACAACATATTATACCCATCTAACCAGTGCAGACCAACAACATATGATACCAATGTAACCAGTGCAGACCAACAACATATACCCATGTAACGAGTGCAGACCAACAACATATTATACCCATCTAACCAGTGCAGACCAACAACATATTATACCCATGTAACCAGTGGAGACCAACAACATATTATACCCATCTAACCAGTGCAGACCAACAACATATTATACCCATGTAACCAGTGGAGACCAACAACATATTATACCAATGTAACGAGTGCAGACCAACAACATATTATACCCATGTAATGAGTGCAGACCAACAACATTTTATACCCATGTAACAAGTGCAGACCAACAAAATATTACACCCATGTAACAAGTGCAGACCAACAATATATTATACCCATGTAACGAGTGCAGACCAACAACATATTATACCCCATTTAACGAGTGCAGACCAACAACATATTATACCCATGTAACCAACAACATATACCGATGTAACCAGTGTAGACCAACAACATATTACACCCATGTAACGAGTGCAGCCCAACAACATATTATACCCATGTAACGAGTGTCTGGCCCGTGGTGACACTGGTAAAAAAACATATGTTTTTATGAATAATTTTTGGAAAACAGTTTGATTTGTGAAATATACAAGTACCTTTTGTTTGTGATAATCTTCTTGTCTTTCTTTAATCTTATACTTATTTCTAGCTACATGTACCAGCCTTTCCAAGTGAATACTGGAGTTAATGAGCTTTTATTTCCCTGAAAATATCAATTTAAAGATTTCATCTTCAAAATTTCCTAATACTACTCTCTTAGTGTGTGTGTGTATATACAATTAATATAATGTAAATATATGTTTACACCATAATATAATTGTATTCAGCATGTAATGACATAAAATTTGAAAATTTATGATAATAATATTTCTTCATATTAATGTGGGGAGGAACTGTCTGTCCCCTAAAATAGACAAACTCTGCGCACCGGTTGCGCTACGGCCAGTAATCCGGAAAGGGGAGATCACTGCGTTATTGATATCTCAAGGCCCAACTGCGCATGTGAGAAAACAACAATATAACAAATGTTTACAAAACAAAGTAAAGTGATACATAATTGAAATGGCAATGTTATGAACATAATTATGTTCATAAAAAAAGAGAACAAAATAGAATAAAAAATAGAATAAAAATATAACATATTTATACTTAACAATTTA